CAACTCCCAGAATTCCCCAGCCAGCCATGCAGAAGTCCACTCATCTTAAAGTGGCCAAGTTTGGACAACACTGCTCTAACGCCATCAAACAGCAACATCTGCCCATTCCAGATGTTGGGCAGTCCTTGGGAAGGACTTGATTGGTGGGTCAAAATGCCAGATGCAGGATAAACACCTGGCTGACTGTGCGACCAGTAATAATAATATTGTGACCTCATGTTGATGTGTATATAATAATTATTGTAATAATATTGGGAAGAACTGATAGGTAGACAAGAGTGCCAGATCCAGTCTAAACATCTGGCTGACTGTGCAACCAGCCATTACAGTAATAATTGGAGAAGATCATAAAGTACCAAGATCTGAAAACCAAAGCTGAAAGATTACGGCATGACCGGCCGTGGTGGTCCCAGGGGCTATCGGCACACGGGTGCCATTCCAAAAAGCCTTGGACGGTGCTAAGAAATCTGCACATTGGCAAAATTTCCATCTGTCAATTACAAAAGGCCCCCTTGCTTGGATCCGCTCATAGATGACACAGACACGTTAGGGCAGGGTTCCTCAGCCTTGGCCACTTGAAGATGGGTGGCCTTCAACCACGCATCTTCAAGTGGCCAAGGCTGAGGACCCCTGTGTTAGGGCATCTTAGGCCTTGGGAAGAACTCGATGCGAATGATGGCCAACACCAGCTAAAGAATGGGCAGCCGCGATTTCACATTGTTGAGGAGGAGGAGGAGAAGAAGAGGAGGAGGAGGAGGAGGAGGAGAAGAAGAAGAAGAAGAAAAGGAGGAGGAGGAGGAGGAGGAGGAGGAGGAAGAGGAAGAGGAAGAGGAAGAGGAAGAGGAAGAGGAGGGCGATTTGTTATAGCAAAAGATTCTCTTTCAGGCTTCTCCACCCTGAGTGGCAACTGAGGGGTCCTCAGAGCCATCTAGTCCAGCCCCGCTCTTCAGGAAGTACAAGCCCCCTCCCACGCCCCCCAGGCGCTGCAACCCTTCCCAGCAAGACAGACCCCAGCAGGGGCGTTTGCCTTCTCCCTCCTCCTTACCAGAAGCTGTGAAGGTAGCAAAAGTTGAGCTTTTGGCAGAAGCTGCAGAAAAACTTGTCCACAAGCCAGCAGCTGATGGCGATGACCCACCAGAAGGTCATGGTCACGGCCGCGCGTCTGACCGCAGGGCTGCTGCACCTGAGGAAGAGGTCCAGGTCCAGGTGAGTTAGAGGGGCCTCTGCAGCCCAACAGATCAGATGCCGCAGGCGGGCTTTTGAAACACTCAGATCCCAGGGAGGATCCCTGCTGTCTCCCGGCATGAGTCCCTGTTCTGGGCTGCCCTGCAAAGGGGGACCCTTCCCCGAAGTCTCACCCTGACCGCCCCGCTAAGCAGCAACCTGGTTTCAAGCCGCATCGGCCGATGCCTGAGTTCCCACAGCAGCTCCTCCTGGCTAGTGAACCCAGGTCAGCGCTAGCCAGGCTTAATCTGTTGTGTGAGTGTAGGGACCTTGGAGGTCTAGCCCACCCTGCTGCCCAAGATGGGAGTCCAACAGACGGTTGCCCGATCCAGACAGATGGACGGGCGAACTGCTTCCTGTGGCAGAATCGCCGTGACTGTCGGCTAAGCTGCCAGTGGCCACTCTGGACGAGTGAATATTTTTAATTGGAGGTCAGAGGCGACTGGATGAGCAGGGGACTTCCAGAAGAGGGTACCTGTGGCCACTCTGCAGGAGTAACTGTTCTGAGCTGTGGTCCGTCAGAAGCCCCTCCTCTATGCTGAGCAGGGAAGCCCCATCTCAGAAGGCTGGCAAACGACCCCAAGGCCTTGTCCCCGTGGCAGAGGCAGAGATGCCCCTTCCTGCGTGGGCAGGGTGCCCACTGGCGGCCTGCTGCAGAAGGAGCGCAGAAGCAGCCTTGCCCTGCTCAGCCCTCCCTCCGCTTGGCTGCGTGGCACGCCAACCGCAAGTCCCTCCACGCAGGGCTGCCAAACGTGGGGCCAAGATCAGAGCGGTCTGCCCCGTCCACATGCAGGGGTCGGCAGCCACCAGGCGGGGTGCAAGAAAGTGGGGCTCGGCCCCTTTCTTACCTTCGCACTTCCTGGTACGCCAGATAGAGCAGGTGGAAAGCCACGCAGTTGAGGACGTAAGCGTTGAGGGCCGGTTTCACAAAGGACATGAAGGTGCTGGTCACCGTCACCATGGCCACAAAGGTGATGAACTGGTCCCTGAGGGAGGCACGGCCACGTTTACGCCCTTTACCCTGGAGATGCCGCCTCCTCCTCCCCCTCCTCGCCAGCACAGACAGCTGCAAGGAGTCTGCAGGGCACCCTCAAAAAAGCATGTATTGCACGTAAAACCCGGGCAGAGCTTTGATCGCCCCGTCATGGCTGCCATCTTGACCTTTTGGACCATGCCCTGCGGACACCCCAGGACTGTCGGATCACCCCAGGGCTTGGCTTGTGCCTGCCAGGTGGGTGCCAGGCGGGAAGTAGCAGGCACTGACCCATTGAACCAATTTTGCTCCATAAGGATTAGCTAACTCTGGAATGACGAAATGGCGTTGTGGCGGGGGGGGCATTGTACCCCTCCTTAGATGGCAATGCATACTGCTTCAAAAGAGGATCC